CACGAGGACACCCCTAACAGGTGTCAAAAGTAACACATTCAGCGAAACCTTATTTTCGCAAATTGTTCACTGTACATTACCATTATAGACAACCTAAGCAGTTCCTACACCATTCTCTGTTGAGATGGTGAAACAGTCTTTGGTAGGTTGATTTATACCTCTGTCGGATACAGTTTTATAGACTGTTAGAAATAATGATTGTTGTCAAGTAACTAATTCTCTCTCCTTCTTCTTGTTCGTCTCCTTCGCTCAGGTGCCCTGTGTTCTTTTGGGTTGCTCGCAGCTGACACCCGGGTGAAATGTGTGAAGTTGGGTCCCGATCCACAATTATCGAGAGAGTGTCGTCGTGGGCGTTTCTTGTGTCGTGCGCTTTGTGCGACGATGGCCTCCGTGTTGTTGTGACGTTAATTGGTTGCGTGTGTTGAATCCTGCTCTCGAGGATGAGCACCATCGAGAGAGGGACGACGAGAAGGGACGGGTATAGAGATTTTTATGAGGCATTTTATATATCTGTATGTTTATAGTTTATAGATTCTATGAGCGTGTCCAGCCGCTCCCTGGGCTGCAATCCTGTGGCAGGTTGGTAGGGGCCCTAGCCGAAACGACCGCTGCACCTGAGTGTCAGTGACGTCGACCACAGCAACCCGAAATCCGTGGCTGGCACGCATTCTTTCCCTAGGCCGAGCGTGAGTTGACGTTAGGGGCCGAGTACTGCAAGAGATGTATATCCTCATCGTCTCCCACACAGTGCGCCTATCACTACCGTCAAACTGTGACTCCCACAAAGTAGCTTCGAGCTCTGCCGGCTCGCAACGAACCACGTCAGACGGCTCGCAGAACGAAGTCTTCGCTCGGTTCTTAGGAAAGGACCGTTAAGCCCTTTTGTTTCCCACCTTGTCCGGCTCGTCACACGCTCAGTTATACTCTCCGGGGCCGGAATGGTAAAGGCGGTGTCTTAAACTCCTCACCAGGCACGTCCGTCACCACACCCCCAAAACTCTGTGGCGCGCCCTCTTCAGATTGGTGTAAAGGGAGTTTACAGCAGGGTTTGCTTCATTTCTGGCCCGTAGCAGCCCCCTCCGGTTATACGACCTCTACACCCTCGGCCGCGCGCGCTCAGCCCGTACTGCATCTCATACGAACTTATCACGAGACCTCGTCGAAATGAGCTCCTAAACGCAATGAGAAATACTTAAGTCAGTTAGTGTGACTGCAATGATATTGTAACGGGGCCGTGCGCAATGAAATAATGAAAATAATTTTACTAGTGGTGAGTGACTGTCTGTTCTCCCCAAAGCGCGTGCCTCCAACATAGTACATCCGGATGACATTAGCAAGCTAAACCGGGCGAGGTGCAGAGGTGCACGTCAACGACGTATTTGTACCGACTACTAGAAAAGTAGACCTTTGAAGGAGTTGCCCCGGTGGTCTCAGGGACACAACGACATGCTGACTGCAGTGGGGTTTGAACCTGGGACCCCCTGATCCCAACACCAAGGCTCTATCCACTGCGCCACACACCTCACATTTGTATAATTTGACCCGGCACTGGTTTGACCTACTTATCGATGACGTTTTGAAGCTTGACCAATCAGTTGACAGCTTTATGTCTTGAAGCAGTTAGTTATTAAAAACTGAGAGGACACACCTCCTCTTCCTGCGTGTGTGTTTATGCCCAGAAAGCGACGCAACTTCTGGTCCAGGCTCTCACCTAGACTACTGCAACTCCCTCCTGGCTGGTCTACCTGCATGTGCCATCCGACCTCTGCAGCTCATCCAGAATGCAGCGGCTCGTCTGGTCTTCAACCTTCCTAAATTCTCCCACACCACGCCGCTCCTCCGCTCCCTTCACTGGCTTCCGGTAACTGCTAGAATCCACTTCAAGACACTGGTACTTGCGTACCAAGCTGCGAATGGATCTGGCCCTTCCTACATCCAGGACAGGGTTAAACCGTACACCCCAGCACGTGCACTCCGCTCTGCATCAGCCAAACAGCTCGCTGCACCCGCACTGCGAGGGGGACCCAAGTTCCCATCAGCAAAAACACGTGGGTTTGCTATCCTGGCTCCAAAATGGTGGAATGAGCTCCCCATTGAAATCAGGAAAGCAGATAGCTCGCTCATCTTCCGGCGCAGACTGAAAACTCATCTCTTTTGACTCCACTTTGAGCGATAGAATTACTAACAAAGAAACTGCTAACAAAGCACTTTTATACTAATAAAGGACTGGCTTATCTAAAGCCAGTTGAGTAGCACTTCAAATGTTTGGCTCTATGGAACCTGATGTACTTATATGATTCTGTTTTCTTCAAGGTTGTATCTTCTTGGTCGAATGTACTTATTGTAAGTCGCTTTGGATAAAAGCGTCAGCTAAACGTAATGTAATGTAAATGGTCTGCAAGTTCCCTCCAGAGGGAGTTTCTCTCCCACACACTCCCCCCTGCCTTAAAGCCTCCATTTGACTCCTTTGTTTACTTCAGTAACATAGTGACATCACTACGTAACACTCGCATTTGTTTTGGCTAGCGCTCTAACACATTGTACGTGCCAGGCTAAGGGGTGGGACATCTCTAAGCGGTTGACCAATCACAACAGAGCCGGCGTTCTAACCAATCAGAGCAGACTGGGCTCTGGTTTCAGACAGAGGGTGAAAAGAGGTGCTGCAGCACAGGCAGTATGAGAAAAATAAAGAGCTCTTTGAACATTAAAGCACGGAGATATGTTACAGTAGAGACACTAAATACAATTATGAACCTGAAAATGACCTTAATGCGTCCTATTTAAACACTGATCAAAGTACAGTTATGTCCTGTGCCTAAAAAATGATGTGGTTATGTTAAAAGCTTCCTCTTACCAGTTTAGGGAACTGCTGCGTGATTACGGGGGAGTATGTGTTTCCTGGGGAGCCTTTTCTCAGCGACACCACCACAAAGATCTGGAAAAGCTGCTGCTGCTGCAGCTGGATCAGGTCTCTCTCCAGGGTGCGGTAGCCTGGCCGACGCTTCAGTGTAGACTGGATGTAAACTGATCTCCTGGAGCCTGCTGGACACCACACAGAGAGACTAATATGCTAAATGCTTGTTCTGGGACAGATCCCACCCAGCACAATAGAGAAGTATGAGGCAGGCTAAATATCAACATACAGTGTGTTTGTGAAGTTAACCCAGATTACACAGTGTCCGAAACAATGGCCATGGATGATTGTCTATTTCCTAGAGCAGAGGTATTATTCTACTTTCTCAAAGTTTAAACAATATTTCCCATAAACTTCATTGTTACCTCTTGCAAAAAGATGATTGACCTATGTTCAATTGGATTTTCTGAGTAGGCTTTACAGAGGAAACCGTTGCTTGGCTTTATAGATGGTATTGTTGGTAAGTTGACTACTTTTCACAAATATTGTATTAGATATATAATCATAAAATCTGCTACAGACTGATAACAACAGAATTAAATTATGAGGTTGAAGTTTCATTCTTTCCAAAAATTTGGTTTATGGCCAAATACCTGACAAACTGATGATAATAATTTCAGTCAAAGTTATTCAGATAAACATTTGGTTAAACAGAGAAAATAATGAAATCTACATTTTTGAGAGGCTGAAAAACAGCATTGTCTGACATGAGAGATTACTCTTATTTGAATTGATTATCAAAACAACATCAACAAATTGATGCAGCTCTATTTTCCAACATGTCAACATGCTAACGCTGGGATGTAGATAAAAGCACCTCTGCTAAAGTACAGCCTCTCAGAGCATGGCTGTCCACTATAAAAAAGAGACACATATTACATTTTTCAAAAGGGGCTAAATCAAGACAGCACTTGGCATTTTGTTATTGATAAATGACTTGTTTCAGCTTTTTTATATATGTGCTTATCAAGTATGATAAGGTGAATTGCAGTCCAATTGAACTTGTATGCGTTTGATTGGACAGAAATAGTGTATAGCGTTGACTGGCACTCATATAATAATGACTTCCCTGGAGCAAAAGAACAGACGCTATGAATGGTTCTGGGTTTCCTTTGTCTATACTTGGGAGAGTCAATCAAAAATACTGAGATTAACCCTTGATGGTACCTTTGCTGTTGTCCTCCGGGTCGCTCTCTGTCCCACTCGTCTCCTCTGTTGACATGAATTAGAGGACGGAGGGATTAGTGATAGGAATGGAACAAACTTGAGAAGCCATAATCAGATGCAGACAGTCGGCCTTTGTTTCATAATCAGCGGCTTCGCCTGCTGCAGCTGGCCTTGTGTGCACCATCAAACGCTGGGTATTTCCAGCGAGGCTCGACTTAATCTTATTGAAGTGTTGATGTGAGTGACATTTGGACACTTCTGTGTGTGTATGTGTTACCTCGCACTGAGACCCCCTGGTTCTTCACTCTTTTCCTCCGTCGCTTGTCGTCAAAGATGGTCTCGATCTTGTTGACGTACTGCGTAGTAGAACACACAGGTACCCGTCAGCCCCATCATTTCCCATCTATTATAGAATCTTGATTATAGGGAATCATGATATAACAGCCCCTAAGTGCATGACTAAATTATAGGCATTTTGATAACCTTACTTTCCTGCATTCTTCTGTTAATGCCCTGAAACAGTTGATTATTTTCAAGTCAACTAAGCCCTCTGCAATAATGCACAGAGATGGCTCAACACACAATACGGCACATACAGGAAGCTGAAACGTATCTTTAAGGAGACAGACAACACACAGGGAGGAATTAAATACCCCTACTTAAGGTACAATGGTACCTTTGATTTTCAGAGAAAGACATAAAGCATAGCATAACTACATTTTACCTGTCAGAATATTTATTCTTAACTTTATAGTTAAAACAAAAAGGTCAACAAAGAAAGTGTTGTTTACATTTTTTAAATACCATCCAAAAATAACCATTTGTTGAGAAGACGCAGAGTTGCTGTCATTTAAACAATACAAAACAAAGGCTTTTTAGCTCTAACATGATAGCCAATTAAACAAATTGCATTTCATTTGTTTAAAAAGAGAGTACTGGTACCTCAGATTGACCTGTGATTTTCAAATCTACTTTCAAACTAATTTTGAGTCCAGCGAGCCCTCCTACTCAAACATTCTTTGACCTCTGTTTACGTACTGCACCTTATCATTAAAGTCCCTCCATGTCCACGGTCTTCGCACCGCCATGAGTCGTGTGTCTGAATTCATGTGTTCTGTACAAAGTCTCCTGAAGCGACCGAATATGATGCTCTAACTGTACACTATCTATTTCTTCCAGTGGCCTCTACTTCCTGCTAAACAAGTCACGCCCCCTCTGTGCTTTCCAACATGACACATGATTTATCATAGACAGAGGAACATACATCCTACTTTGTTTGTCTATAAATAGACAAAACATCTCAGTGAACATGTGTCAGGATTAATAAGGGAAGGGAAAATAGACCCCAAGTTAAAGGTATATTACCTATTAAACATCATAAAAAAGAGGAAAAATCATCCAAAATTGCCCTGTGATTAGAAATAAATACGTTCATATTCAAACCTGTAGTCAACCATTGTATCAAAACACAAAGCCTAATGATAAAATCCGTGTACCTGAGGGGTCCTCTGTATTTTTGAAGTGCTTGCGCGCCGGGGTGCAGCTGGTTTGGGAGTTTCTGCAAGTGTTGAGGCTTTGGAGGCCGTTGTCGTTTGGAACCTCTTTCTATCCACCTTGCTAGCGTAGCCTTGCAACGTTTGGGGTTTTGGAGGCAGCTGGAAGACAAAAGGTGCCGAGTCATCATAATTACAAGGTATTAAACAACAATACTTCCCTCTCTAACCTTTAGAATTTCAGGTTAGGTTCATTTGATACACCCATTATCAAAGGATGAAAAATACTTGTGAAAAGGAGATATGAATGGTATTATCTTTCAATACCTTTGGCCTTGCAATTGGGAGACACATGGGACTGAGCTTGATATCCTCATAGGGGTTGTCTCTGGTAACGTCACCTGGGGGATGACAGAGTGATGGAAAGGTTAGACAGGCTGTCTGGAGGTTACCTCAGGGGAAAGTTTCACCACACCTAATACTGGCTTTGAACAAGAAACACAGTATAAGAGCCATTACATTAGAATTCTTTATATTTCCCATGGAAGCATCAATTCATATATTTCATATACTAACGGTCATTTACACTATCAATTAATTAGTCAATAAAGTTTCATCATGTTATCCTTAAAAAGGTCCCCTATTAATCTTATTTCAGGTTTTTCCTTTCCTGTAGGGTTCCTCCAGAGGACACACTCCCCCCATGCATGAAACGCCTTGCACTTCTATTGGCTAGTGCTACAACTTGAACGTGAAATGCTGAGAAGTGGGATATTTTTGACACATCTCTAAGTGGTTGATCAATCACAACAGAGGTGAACAGAGGTGATGCATAACAGGCAGTTTGAGAACAATAAAGACCCTTTTGTACATTAAAGCATGGAAACATGTCACAGGCACAAAATACAAATATGAACCTGAAATTAGCATAGTATGTCCTCTTTAAAAAGTAACAAAAATAAAGATGCTGTGAACAATTTGTATGCATTAAACTTACTTATTTAATCTATCAAAGATATTAAGTTTAATATAAGATATAACAAAAAGAAAATCCAATGTGAAAAGCTGCAACCAGATATATATTAGAATGATTTATTCACAAAATAGTTTGGAAGTTGCCAATTCAACAGAAAATCTACTACCAAACTATTTTAATAATAAATAGATTATTGGGGCTGGTTGCTGCACCTCCAAATACAGATAAATAAAGTTCCCTGCAGTACCATAATGTATCTCATTTCTAACAGCGGTGGTTACTTAGTTACTTACGTATCTTCTATTGTGTGCTGTTATTTCATCTTCAATCAAATTCTCAACATAGCAAAAAACTGAACTATTCAGTCAACCTATGACAGGCCCCCAGCTGTCTTTGTGACCTGGTTTGTCTGTTCTTAAAAAAAGCCAGTTTAAAGTACACGACAGCCAGACAGTCAGTTTAATGATCAAATGGGAATTCCACTTACAAACGATATCCTCGTAAATGTTGTCGTCAGAGAAGGCGCGGTAAAGGCTCGAGTGTCCATCCTCGCCTTCAAGCGTTCCTTTCTTCACCGTCAGACGCGACGCATCCTCGTACTCAAAGGACTTCCTGTGGTGGGAAGGGAAGGCAGTGAAAAAGTGTGGCCTGGCTGCTGTCCTAAAGATAGCCACCGTACTATTGTTCACTCTATTGTCTTGTGTTTAGTCAACGTCACACCACAACATTCCTCATGCTGATATCAAATGTCAGCAGGACAGAGAGAGTGTTATCAACTATCATGAAAGGAAATGACTGAGCATATGGTACGAAACTTGCTTAAAAAGCAAAGCATGGAAAAAGAGGATTCTGGGATAGCATTTGACAAAGTCACAATGTCTGTTATAGTTACAATTAGGTCAACATTCCTCCACTACATTTAAAAAATAAAATATATACATTTATTTATTAGAGCTGATTTACGGTCGGTCGTCTAGATTTGGTTAAAGGTTCAGTGCTAGTTTTCGTTTTTTATTTCACATCTACTTGATTTCAGTTTAGCGTAAAAAATGTGCACACGTCTGCCGAAACAGATCTTGCATGATTCACGGTTCAGTGTGATGTCACACCTAGCCCCATGGAAGAATGTCATAATGCACAAGGGATGACAGCTAACTGCCTCCTGTGAAGTTGGTAAACAAGAAGCCCTGTAAAAGTTTGCTAACTGTGTGCAAACATGGCAGGAGGACTGTAGGTGAGAGACAAGTTATCAGAGTTGTGGACTCGAGTCACATGACTTGGACTCGAGTCAGACTCGAGTCATGAATTTGATGACTTTAGACTCGACTTGACAAAATCTAAAAAGACTTGCAACTCGACTTGGACTTTAACATCAGTGACTCGTGACTTCACTTGGACTTGACCCTTTTGACTTGAAAAGACTTGCTACTTTCCTCGAACGCAAAGATTAAAAAGTATGTTGACACGGACGTCTCTCTCTCTTTGCACCTGTGTGCATCTGTGTGCGGCACGACATCCAATCAAATTAGATCCACGTTGTTTCGATCTGACAGCATCCAACCAATCAAAGTACGGGACAACCAATGAAGAGGAACAAACTAAATGCGCGCGTCAGTTGGCAAAAATGATACCAAAGGTAGTTTCGTTTGGGTATAAAAATTATGAGGTGCTCAACAAAAAAAGAATTGCAGTATGTAAAACATGCGGGTCGAAGATTACAGACGGAGACGCGACAACTTCGAACTTCGTTCGACATTTGAAGTTGCACAAAGAACGGTAAGTTTTGAATGAAACATTAACACTAAACATTCGTTTTCAAAGATGAGCAACTCACCGAGTGGTAAGTGGTGTTCGTAGTTGTTTTTTTTTAAATATATCGGAACGGTGAAAACAAAGAAAGTTGGCAAAGGGTGGTCGACTCACTACGGCGTGTGACGTCCGCGGCAAAGAAACGGTACGTCCGTAGACAGTACGATGGCAAACGACCAAGAAAGGTCCGCAATTCAAGGGGCTCTAGTCCCAGTAGTCTACTAGAAGCCAGAGAGGAGAACACGAAGTGAACCCTGCGTGGTCACGTACGGAAAGCGTACAATCGGCGCTAACAAGGAATACAACAGGTAAAAGAAACTACGACAATAAGAGCTAAACTGAAGTTAACCAGTGTATAAGCAAAGCGACACACACTCGAAACTTCGGCTAACGTCCGTCGCAACCAGAAATCGACATAACGGAGAGACAGACGAAAGAGATAGGTCACCCGTCACATGATCGCCTTAGGGGAGTAGAAAAGCCAGTCGGTTTACAGGTGGCACTGACTATTGGTACGGGCACACACGGAGTTAACTCAAAAATAGAACTCAGAAGGAGTGCGCTCACGAGAGACACAAAACTAAAGTACAAGACCGCTGTGGACCGACATGAATGACAGTTCATGGCAGCCTTCACGGCTTTGAGAACAAAAGGGTTATCTCCCTTTCAAGGTAGGTATTAGTTCAGCCGCATAACGGAACACCTAATCGAAAGACGACCCTACTGAAGTACACATTCGGGATGGGCCTGACCAGGCTCTAACACTCTAACTTCCGACACACCCAGTAGATACTACGAAAATAATAGAGCCATAAGAAGTGTAGACATGCCCATTGATATTTTGTCTACAGCTTTTAGATATGTAAGCACAAAATGATATTAAAAACACCAATATAACTACATAAACCATATGACATCTCACACACACAAATTGTAATTGTAACTATTTTATTTAAGTAAAAGCACCATGTGAAGATCATAATTTATATAAAAATGAGCCGACATGGAAACGGATAGTTGCGGGGAAAGCTGTCCTTTGACTTCATACGAACAAATTTTAAGTAGTGAGAGAGTCGTGTGGCTAGGTACCGTTTGTTGTCGTTAAAATGGACGTAGTGTTGTCTTTAAACAACCAGATGAACGACCGAGTTACTAATTCATATTAACACGATAAGATACAGAAAGACACGACTATAAGCTAATCAACGACTAAATGGAATTTAAATGATATTTGCGGAGTACTTTCCGTCGTCACTGGTCGTCGATCTTGAGGTACACGCGTTCATTTTACCGGTAAAAACAGTTACCTTAGACCACACGACCCTCTCCTCGACTCTTATTGAATCAAAAAGATAGCCTTTTGTTTTAGCAGACCGCCGTCGATTTACCATGTAATAAAAAATATTCATGTAATTTGACTGGAACTAAACTAATCCGAACGAAATTCAAACGCGACCGTCAGATGACACATACTAGGTGACTGATCGACGATTCGTGTATGGTAAGAGCGAATTTTTTTTAGGATTGATAGGAAATTTATATTCATACCTATTCAAGTATAAAAACGTGAAACTCTGGGTAAAGACCAAACAGATCCTACTTTCTCTGACAAACTGAGCTGTAAAACTGCTAACCAGTCAGATCTCGAAAACCAATTAAATCTAGGTGGGGTATACGAAGTCCATGCCGTAAGTATTTCGCCAGGAATTTAGTGGGGATTTGCAAGCAAAAGTTTCTACACGTTGAGTGGCTCAACCAATCACCACAAGCAACTACAAGGTTTGCTCACAGAATCGCTTTATGTCAAAGACAGCACAAATTAACTATTATAGTTCGCGGTCAATTATCGGTGAGCCACTCCATAGACTTTGTACGATCCGATCAAGGTATTATTATTGTGCCTACCTTTGGT